AAGATATCATATGCGCTCAACTCTTGTCTTTCGTCATGAAGAACGGGCGCAAAGAGTTAACGCTGGAAGTGATCGATGACTTCCAACTCGACTACTTAGACAAGAAGGCCATCAATGAGTATAAGAAGTCGAAGACAATGGCCGCCAGAGCCCAGCGGACGCCCAAAACCCCGGCCTCGCGGTCCGGATTCAACGCCAACGACAGCTTTAAGGCTTTGCTTAAAGAGATGAACAGTGGATCCGATGACAGCAAACCGGCGCCGACACGGCTTTTCACTCGAGTATTGATCCAATGGTCATGTTTTTATGATATGTTTTCATCTGTTTTTATGTTAACTGCAGATCGAAATCGCATCCAATGACGAGTCCAGTGCTGTCGAAGACAAGAAACTCGAAGAGATTAGTGTCACAGAAACGACAACACATAATGTGGTGACCGTTGAAACGCCCAAAACACCCGAAAAAGTGGTGAATGAGGCGCCAATGTCTCCCGAAATGGTGGACCAGACCATTGAGTACATGGATGTGAGCGCAATGACCACTCCATGCGTGACAGCGACCGCTATTAACGAGTCTATCAATACGTCTCTCAAGTAATTTACTCATAAATTTGTTTGTTTTTGGCATTCATTTACCGATTTATTTGTTCCCAGAATTGACGACACGATTAACTCGAATATATTGTGTTATTTCGGGAACTCTTACTCCGACAAAGAGTGGCGGAACCGATCGAAAGTCGAACACAGCGTCAAACTATACGACTCGACGATTACGTTAACCGAAAACTTTAAGTTTATGTCATTGAAGATCACAGAAACCAATGAGATATTGAACGACATTATTGACGAGTTTTCAGAGCTTCTTCGGGAAGCGCTGGACATTGAATCGTGGAATCAGTTCTCAATTCCCAGTCCTATCGAAGCCTATTATATCGGACGCGTTTGTTATGACTGCAGCGCTAAGACTAAGCTATCGGACGGTACGATACGACTCGAGGGCTCCCGGTATCTGACAAATAGCGAGTCCATTGATCTGGACTTAAGCCGTTTGAACAACTATTCCCTGTTTGCGGGGCAAGTGATGGCCTGTAAGGCTATCAACGAATCGGGCAAAACACTTGTCGTCCAAGAGATCATGGATTTTGATAAGATTACGGGTTCGCCAGGAGTTACGCCATCGTTTGTCCACCCGTTGAATCTGGTCGTAGCCGTCGGGCCATTCAATACACACCAATCGCTGGATTTAGAGCCGTTGCGGAAGTTTATGTCATACGTGCGCCGCTATGAACCCGACTACTGCCTACTCTTAGGCCCATTCGTGGACACTATGAACGAGAAGCTGTTGACCACCGATGAGCCCATCGATCGTATATTTAATTCGCAGATGCGATACATAGCGGAAGAGTTGGCAGATGTGAAGACTGAGGCGATTGTGGTTCCGTCCACTCGTGATCTCAATGTGTTCAACACATTGCCTACAATGCAATTCAATTCGTATAAATCGCATAAAATTCACTACTTTTCCAACCCATGCGTACTGAACATCGCCGGAGCCGTCATCGCCATGACGTCCACCGATGTGTTGCTTCATCTGAGCAAAGAGGAGATCTCTGCGTACGGTTCCAGTCATTCATTCATGTATTTTATATCTTAATTTAATTGTTTTTTTCCCCATAAAATAGTGGCCAAAGTATCGACCGATTGTCCCGTCTCTGCAAACACATCATTAATCAGCGAAACTTTTACCCCATATTTCCGCCCAATCCTGACGTTAACGTTGAGTTCACAAAATACGATTACATGCGACTACCGGTCAGTCCGCNGTTGAGTTCACAAAATACGATTACATGCGACTACCGGTCAGTCCGCACATACTTATAGTGCCGTCGGATCTCAAAGAGTTTGTTAAGGTTTGGCCAAAATTAGTGATTTTTATGTGAATTGATGTGAAATTAATTGAACTGTTTTTTGTGCAGAATATTTCCCGATCAGTGGTCATAAACACGGGTCGAGTGTTCAAAAACAAATTCACTCGAATCCGTATCGATCCGATTGATCGCAAGTCTTTCAATGGTTCCCTCGAGAGCTATACCAATGTTGAGATCATTAAAATGAAAGACGATTAATGTTTGTTTTTAGCAATTATTTATTTTTATAAAAGTATAGTCTTTTAAATTTACACTTTAATAATACAATTGATTTTTTAAAATACAATTAAAATTAATTATAAATTACAATATAATGGTTAAAATGTTTTTAAATACAGTTAAAAATGTAAAAAGTTTTTACGTTAAAACAAATCAAAAATAGACTTTTTGGCTGAAGTTTTCTTCGAGTTCTTCAACTTCTTGTTCGGTCGATACGAGTGGCCATTATTGACGGGAAGCGATCTCTTGGGCGCGCATAATGTCTTCAGCCGCTCGTCTCTGACCACAAAACTGTCGATTCTGATCGACTTTTTCTCCGCCCCGACAGCAGTGTTCGGATCTTTCGATTTGTTCAATGGATTCAAATTCAAACCAAACTTTGATTTTAATTTCTCGAAATTCTCGTCCGTTTTGGCCGCGGAATCAGTCTCTGATGTTGGCTTCAACTTAAGGCCGGGACTCTTCACGGCTTTGGCCGCCTCTTCGTCTGAGTCGACGTAATCTCCTTCGGAGTCTTCGTTGATGTAATCGTTAACAAAAGTCTGGTCTTCTTCGCCGAAATTCCACCGAAACTTCTTCTCCCGAACGTCGCGGTCGTCGTGAAGGTCTCCGTCGGCGAACATCATGTCCTTCAAGACCATCAGTTGTCTCTTGTCTTCGTCTAAGAGTTTTTTGCTGTCAAAACAAATGGTAAAGTATTAGATAATGTCAGCGAAGAGTTAAAATCAATGGTCACTTACTTATGAATTCTCTCGATTTGGTTCCGCATCTCTGATTCCGAGGGTAAGTCCTCCTGATCTCCCTCTTCGTTGTCGTAGTGATTGTCTCCTTCGCCCTCCTCTTCATCGCTGGACACGTCGTCATCGCTTCCGCTGAGTTCGGCCTCGTCTTCGAAGAAACCGCGGCTCAACTTTCGGATGTCCTTCTCGTTCACCACTTCTTCTTCATCGTTATCGTCGCCATCAGAACCATCCGCCTCTTCGTCATCGCCTTCTGCCGCCTCTTCATCGGACACTTCGTCTTCAGTGACCACCAGTTCTTCGCCATCCGATTCATTAAAGCTCTTCAGCGATGAGATCTCACTCTTGAGGTCTGATTTTGACTTTTGCTTCGCTTTTGTGTTCACTTTTTCTTCATCTTCTGATTCGCCATCGCTTTCGACATTAAATACTTTCCGCACTCTTCGGGCGTCACTCATGCACTTCTCGCCCACTTCTTCGTCGTCATCGGTGTCCACAACACCGGACTCTTGAGTGCTTTGACTCTTCTCTCCCGTCTCTGGAATAGAACTCAATTGGGAACCAAAAGCTCCCGAACACAGGCCTAATAGTGTCTGCGAATCAAACTCATCGCCTGTGGCGTCAAATTTCGGTATCAATTGAGTGATATTCGTGTCAGTCATCCGTGGTTTAGGTCTTTGAGTAATGAATGGAGACAATGCGATCTTCTGTGTGGCGCACCGGCGCTCAAACGACTCGTCCAATGAGTTTATGGATGTGTTTAGAAGACTGTCATTGAATTTGTCATCCGATTCCTCCTCTTCTTCTTCATCGGCAATCGCTTCAGTTGACTGAGACTTCTGTTGACTCTCTTCCGCATCGATTTCATTGTCGTCAACGACAGGAACCGACTCTTCATTCTTGTCGTTCAAACCAATGTCTTGCGAACACTTGTCATTTACTCGTTGCGTATCACCGGTCGGATCAGCTCTTGTCTCCACTTCTTCATCGCTGTCAGCGTCGGAATCTTCCGCCTCGTCGTCAACAAATGGATTCGCTTCCCTATCACTGCCTTCATCTTCAGCATCACTTCCCGCCTCTTCTTCTTCTTCCTCCTCTTCTTCGTCATCAGATTTACCATCATTTCCGTCACAATCGGACCCATCCTTCTGGTCCTCTTCGGCGATACCGTCCTCTTTGTTCTCATACGCCAACTGTTCCGCCAATTCGTCCGCTTCTTCGTCGTCACCGTCGCCGCCATCGATGTCTTCATTTTCGATCAAATCATTCAATTCCCTCTCTTTCTCGACCTCTGCTCTCTTCAGTTCCAACTCCTGAGTCATAATTGTCTTCAATTGTGTCCACTTGTGTCCGGCGGTGAACTTCGGGCCGCTTTTGGTCGGACTCTCATTCACTTTAAGCGCCAAAGTCTTCTTGTGGCGGAGGAAGCGATCCATCAGTGACTGGGAAGCGGTCTTCGGGGCCACGGATTGGGTGTCATCGCCGAAGACCACAAACTGGTTGTCGTCGACAACAGGTTTGTGTACCGAAAGCGGCGGTGCGTTCTTCAGCGCCGCCCGAATGGCCAGTTGTGTGGCCGACAGCGGCCTCTTTATGGTCACCAAAT